TGCTATGACATTAAATATTTTTTGCAGTCTACATAGCTACAACCCAGAGAAATACAAGCGCTCACATGCTAGGTAGCTTCAAGTCTGAAAAAAGATTTGATGGCAGAAAGTGCCATCAAGCTGCAGTTTACTTATGGTGACTCCATAGGGTTTTTCAAGGCAAGGAGCATTCAGAGGTGGTTTGCCCTTGCCTGTCTCTGTATAGAGGTCCTGGGCTTCCTTGGAGGTCTCCCATCTAAATACTAACCACGGCTGACCCTGCTTAGGAGGGTGGGCTAATTGGGCTAGCTTGGGCTATCCAGGTTAGGGTGGCTATTTTTGTAGCCATTCTTGTATTTCAGAGATGATACAATGGTTATTCATGGTTATTATAATGATATAATAGTTACTATTATGTCAGAACAAGGAACTTCAGTCAGAACTTCCCCTTCATTACCAATCTAACAGCCTCTCCCCTCCTTAGGTGGTTCCCTGTGTACCTTCCATCCCCTTCGGTCCAGTCCTAACCAGGTTCTCTCAGATTTACTGGAATTTTACTAGGATTTATTTCCTGGTAAACACGGGCCCTTTCTGCACTGAACACCTTGCTCTGGAGAATCTGAGGAGTCAAGCCTTAAGGTTGACTTTGTGGTCACACACATTTCCCTCTGCACTGCTTCCCCCCCCCCTACAGTTTATTTATTTGTGTATTCTGTATGTAATCTGCATGTACAAGCAAAACCCGCATTTTTGCCTAATTAATATGGAAACGTCATGTAGCGTCCAAAGTTTTTTTAAAATTTATGCAATTGTCCTGCCACAGTTAAAACTTTTAACTGCAGTCCTAACCCCTCCCTCCCTGATTCTGCAAAAACAATTCTACTTTAGGAAGGATTAGTGATTTGAAAGTGGGTGAGAACAAAGAATTGCTGCAAAAGGAGTTTTGGTAACTGCAGGACAACTGTGTGCTGGAAGCAGTCTGCATGCAGATTCCTGTAAAACAAATGTAGAAACATGAAAAAGCCCAGACACAAACTGGAAGTGAAAGTGGGAGGGAATGCAGAATGGAAGACTAGGATGTGCTCGGAAACTGAGGTAAAATACAGGTGCAGAAAGGGCCATGTTTATGATTACAGCCCTTTGGGACAATATTTCAGTCTCCCACAGCAATGCAACCAGGTGTTTGCATTGTACCCCAAAACATTGTCTGCCCTCATCAGCATCTTAATGTATGCAGCTCAAACTCATGTATGTTTACTTGGGGCAAACCTCATAGGATTAAGACCTTGGTCCAATTCCAGATGCACAAATGGAATTTTCACTTCCTGGAATGTACTGTTCTGTCTCCACCCACCAATAATTCCTCCCCCCCTTCATGCACTCTCTCTGTATACAAGGCTGTGTTTGCTTTCACTATCCTCAGTCACTATTTTTTTTAGAAAATACATGGTTTTATAGAGGAAAGTCACCACCAGTTTGGTATAGTGGTCAAGTGTGTGGACTCTAATCTGGGAGAACCGGGTTTGATTCCCCACTCCTCCACTTGCACCTGGCTGGATGACCTTGGGCAAGCCATAGTTTTGTCAGAGCTGTTCTTGAAAAAGAGCAGTTTCTGTCAGAGCTCCCTCAGCCCCACCTACCTCACAGGGTGTCTGCTGTGGGGAGGGGAAGGGAAAGGGGTAGTGAAGGGTGGGGTATAAATACAATCTTCCTCTTCTTCTACCTCTGCTTTTTACTTCTTTAAAACTGGCTCAGTTATTATGAGAAGGCTACGCTGACTGGGTGGAAAGTGCCACCCCTCACAGGGAACTTTTTTTCTGGAAATCCTCAGTGCATTCAGTGTTGTCCTCTAATTCCTAATGCAAAAGTACAACAGGGATGGAAGTGACAGAAGAAGATGTTGAAAATAGCTGGATTAAAGGCCCCCAATATCATTGGCATCCCTCATGCCTCTGACCAACAGGCTACACTCTTAGCTATCTATCATAGTTTTATCACACATGAACACACAAGAAACTGCCTTATAGTGAATCAGACCATTGGTCCATCAGTGTCAGCATTCTCTACTCAGATTAGCAGCAGCTTTCCAGCATCTCAGGTGGAGGTCTTTCACCTACAACCTGATCCTTTTAACTGGAGACGCCAGGGATTGAACCTGGGACCTTCTGCATGCCAAGCAGATGCTCTACCACTGAACCATGGCCTCCCCTCTAGGGGAGGGACTTGGGGCAGCATACATGGTTTCCCCCTCCTCTGTTTTACCTCACAATACGTCTATAAGACGTATATAGATAAGCATATGGAGCAGAGGTCCATCAGTGGCTATTAGCCACAAGGTATAGATAGGGACTCTGGGGCAAGTGATGCTCTGTCTTCTTGGTGCTTGGGGGGGTCAACAGTGGGAGGGCTTCAAATGTCCTGGCCCCACTGGTGGACCTCCTGATGGCACTGGTATTTCTGGCCACTGTGTGACACAGAGTGTTGGACTGGATGGGCCTTTGGCCTGATCCAACATTGGCGTCTCTTATGTTCTTATTGGTAGTTTAGGCTGGGAGAGTGACATGACCAAGGTCATACAGTGAATTTCATGAGGGACTGGATATTTGAACCCAGGACGTCTCCCAGTCCTGGTTTAACCATGACATGAGAGCCAGTTTGGTGTAGTGGTTAGGGTTGGGGTTGCGTGATTTTTGTGGTGCCCCTTGTAGACTAACACAATACCTACAATATGATGGTGGTTTTATTTCGTTTCAATGTAAAAAATCATATGAAATTCATGAGGATCCATTTAGATCCGACTTTTACCCAGGACCCCCCTCCCCCCACA